AGCTTCCTAAAAGCTTTATAGACATTGCATTGACTTTATATATGTTTGTAGTTGATTAATAGGTTAGAAATATGGGCAATAAACTAATGACTTGTTAATAGCTTATAGAACAAGCTAATTATACAGCACCTATATAAAAAACTTATCTTGTAAATTAAGATATATGGCTTACAAAGTCAACACATTTTAAAGGTCTTATAAGACATTACCACATAACTTCTAGTTAAGAATATATATGGAGGCAAGACTGAAGCCTTCTATATTCTTGTCAATACCTATCTAATCGTTAGTCTTCTTTCAAGACTTTCTAGTCTTCTTATTTATGGCAATAGCCATTTTAGTTTAATATTATATCATCTTTGAGTGACTTTTTAGTTCCTTACAATGATATAAGAAGGTATTTAGGATTTTATTTCTTTAAGATTCATCTCTTTGATACTTAATAATCACAAAGCCTCTGCCTTCATAGATTTAAGAACTTTAGCTTGTTTTTTAGATGAAAGATTTGTTAAAAACCATAGAATACCATCAATACAAAAAACTAAATCCATGTATGTAGAAGTCATAAATGGCTACCATTATCTTCTAGAAATATTATTTATAAAACACTTTCTATAGATGTAGCAATAAATAGTCATAATAGTTAGATAATTTTTATTATAATTAATTCTTCTTCTAATGCGATCATTTTAGATTTATCGTGATTAAAAAAGTATAATCATTTGATAGATTAGATTTCTCATAAACTTGATTTTTCTCAGAGCACTATTAAACCATAAGTTTAGTATAATCAAATCCATACTTGTACGTATAAAAGCTTTCTTACATGCTAGAAAAGAAAGATTGCTCTTTGTTATTTATGTCATATCCATTTTTAATGATGGAAAGACTTCAAGTGGCATTCCAAGTTAATATCAAGATTTTCAAGATGTTTTTGAGAAGAAAAATACAGATATTCTTCCAAAATATCATCCATATTATTACTCAATCGATCTTAAAGAGAGAAGCTAGCCACCATTTGGTCCAATCTATAGTTTATTACAAAATAAGTTGATTGAATTGAAAAAATATATTGACGAGAACATGGCTAAGAATTTCATACATCATTCAAAATCTCCTACTAGAACTCATATCTTATTTGTAAAGAAAAAAGATAGATCACTATAAATGTCCATAGATTATTAAGGTCTCAATAATATTACCATCAAGAAAATGTATCCTTTATCTTTGATATTTTAACTTCTTAATCAACTAAATTAAGCTAAAATTTATACAAAAATAGATCTACTAAGAGCATACAACTTGATCCATATTAATGAAGGAAATAAATAGAATACTACATTTTGAACAAGGTATGGATACTTTGAATATAATGTTATGCTTTTTGGACTCACAAATGTATTAGCTACTTTTCAACATCTTATAAATGATATTTTTTGTAAGTTTCTAGATGATTTTTTTGTATGTTACTTAGACGATATTTTAATCTATTCTAAGATTATAGAAGAAGATGAAATTTTTGTTCGTTATGTATTACAAAAACTTAAAGATATAAGATTATATGCCAAGTTAAAAAAGTATGTATTCTATACAATTCAAGTTGACTTTTTAGGACATATCATTTCCAATGAAGGACTTATAATGGATTTGAAGAAGGTTCAAACTATTATAGATTAAAAGATTCTAAGAACAGTAAGAGATGTGTAATACTTTTTGAGCTTTGCCAATTACTATCTAATCTTTGTTAAGATTTTTTTTTCAAGTTGCGACTCTTCTTATGCATCTTACATGCAAAGACAAACTTAATTGGAGTTAAAAAGCTGAAGCATCTTTTAAAGCCTTAAAGTTGGCACTTATTTTTGTACCAATCTTGTATCACATCAACTTTTCAAGGCATTTTTTATGAAAATAGATACATCATATTTTTCTATGAGTACTATTTTGTCATAAATAGGAAAAGATGATAAGTTCCATCCAATAGCTTTCTATTTCAAGAAATTCTCAATATCCAAGATTAATTATGAGATCCACAATAAAGATCTTCTTAAGATTGTGGATTCTTTTCAAGAATGGCTTCATTATCTAGAAGGTACTTCTAATCTAGTAACCATATATACAGAATACAAGAACCTTGAATATTTCATGTCAACACATATTTTGAATTGTCGCCAAACTGGTTGGAACATGTCTTTATCAAGATTCAAGTTTAATATCATTTATTGGCTAAAAAAATAATAAAATTTGTCTAATATTCTTTTTAAACATTCTTATCATTCATCTAAAGAAGAAAATATAATTTTTAATCAACAAAAAAAAAATTATTGGAGCCAAAACAATTTCATGTTTAAGTAGTGAAATCAATATTAATTGTTGATTCAACTTTTTTCAAACAAATTCAATCAAATATGTCCTTTGATCTTCTTGTTTATAATATCAAGACTACTTTTTCTAAGTCTCATAATACTTCCAAGTTTTGTATTGGTAGCTTGTGGAATAAGCTAACTATGTGGCGGCCATTTAAAAAACTTGACTTATAAGTCAAGACACATGTAATGCAAAGTCAATATATTTTTGGAGGTCCTATAGAACGTTGCCACATATATCCTAGATAGATAGTATATATAGAGGTAAAAATGAAGCCTTTTTCACTCTTGTAAACTCCTTTCTTACTTTTAATCTAGATTCAACAATCTCTAGTTTTCTTAACTTTTAGCAATAGCTATTATAGTTTCTTTTTAATGTACATACTAATTTATTTCTATTTTGTCACTTTTCTTTTGAAATTTTTTTTTCAAGTTGATGCATCTTCTTTCGATTCATGTCCTTGACACTTTTCTAACTTAAATATTAATTTTTTAGTAGTAGTTTTCTTATTAAAAAAATCAATTACTTTAAAGATTAATTAATATATTTAATAATTAAAAAATAATTTTTCTTATTAAATTTTGTTGTAATCAAAGTGGAAGATTTTTTAAGATTGAGGAAATCCTCACTAATCTTAAATTTCAAATATCTAAAATTCTAATCAAATAAAAATCTCATATCCTTCAATCTAATTGTTCAATTAACATCAAATTTATCAAACATACTTAAGACATACACAATGACATATTGATAAAATTTCACTTGTAAATTTGCTACAATATTCATAATATCCTTAAACTTATAAATATCATTATATTTTTCAAAATCTAAAACCATTGAATACATCTTTCATTTTGAAAAGCCATGAAAAACTCAATATGCATTCAAATCACTTAAAGTTAATACTTAAATAATTCTTTTAAAGTCTTTTTTTAAATATATTCTTTAATTAATAAAAAAAATCTAGAATTACCATAGGTACAAGGTTTTAAGCTTTGGAATTTGATTTCAATCCTAATTTGTAACTGATCTTCTTTGGATATCAATTCTTAATTTTTTAAGGTAATTTTTGCTTAAAACTATTTTAAATTCCTTTCAAAAGATACTTTTATTAGTTATTATTTTTATCTACTTTGATTTGTGTCATTTATGGTCCTTCATAGTAAATAGAAGTTTTTTTTATAAAAAGAGAGTACTATTACTTATTAATTTTTACTACCTCTTTGTCTATTATCTATATTTTTAATATAACTTAATAAAATATTTCTATTTATGGTCTTCTTTAACCTAATAGTTGTGTTAGAACAAGATATCATTGACATCCACACTAATGTCATTGGACTGCTTCACATGGTAATATTGTTTGAATTCTTTGTAGAATATTATACAATTGCATCTAGTTTTGTCACTTCAACAATATGTAGTTAGATCTTCCATTAGATGCATTCTTTACAAGTTAAATTTTTATTATTTAAGAAGATTTTATAAAATATCTTTCAATTATGTTTAGGAGTAAAGGGCCTTTATAAGTCTTATAGTGCAATTTACAATATAGTAGAAGAATTTATGTATGCAATTTGGTTTTTGATAATATTATTTGCCTTGCTAAAAAATCTCATGTCAATAACTAGCATCTAAAGTTCAAATAGCTAAAATAAGAGGCTTACATAAGAGGGCACATAATATAATAGCAAACAAATGTCACAAATATACATATTAACACTAGTATTTATTTAGATAAGAAGAATTAAATAGAAGTAGGTAAATTTGATAATATCTTATGAAGAAGCTTCTTAAAAGTGGATTTGCAATAGAAGCTTCTTAAAAAGATCTTAATAGTTTCTTTTGTAAAATTTAGTTGGTTCAAAAATAATTATGATGTTTAAAATACATTTCTTTGAAAAGCTTAAAAAATATCTCATATTAACATGTACATAAAACCTAAATAAGTTACTATTTTACATTCACAAAGACTCTAAAGAACCAAAGACTTATTCCATTATTCAAATTATTTAATATTATTTAAGTAAGCAAGCCATATGTATAAATTAATCTTAAATGATGTCATTTTTTAAATATTCATAACTACCTTCCAATACACTTGGTAATCCATGATAACATTAAAACATGATATAACTCAAACTTTATATTAATTTTGTTGCTCTTACACCTTCTACCAAGGATGTCAAGATTTAAGTTTTATTTTTTTAGTAATTTATTTCCATTAAATCATAGCATTGGATATATGCCTTTAGTGGAAGAAGAAGTAAAAATGAAAAAAAAATGAAAAACTAGATGCAAGGTCAAAAAGTTTGCAAGAATACATTAAAACTATCTAAATTAAGAAAAAAGAAATGGCTAAGCTTGATATTAATGCGTGCAAAATAACTCAAGCATCTAGCGGTAAAGCACACAAAGTAACTTTACCTCTCATACTTACAGTGTCACACAACTAGGCCAATGCAGGCCAACAAAAACGATATCATTAAACTACTCAAACAGTATAAGTAAATCTTCCTAGGTTCCCTACAGTGAGAACGTTGATGGATGCAAAAGGATGTAGAACTGAAGCGGGCAATGTTCAACACCCCCTCTCGCCCCTCGTGTTATATAAAGAAGAGAATGCGCTTGAAAAGATCTAAGTAAGCAGATAGTTTTTTGCATCACACAGAATAAAGACCCTTGTATTTGGCACCTTTGAGATTCTTGACAAGAGGTTCACATATAAACCAAGATGAGTAGATTCCAGGATGACTGCCTATTTTAATGACATAAAATTTGAACTTCTGAGCTGGGCGTGAGGAATAAGTAGATGTTACCGTTCAGGTAGAGTTGTCCGCGTTGGAGGTAGTGGAGTTGTGCTTCTGCCCTTGCAAGGAGGCGATCAATAAGAAGCTTGAGTAGAGATAGTAGTGTCCAGATGAGAGTTAATACTAACTCTTGCAGCATATAATTGTTGCAATTAGGGACATCCATTACAAGAGAAGAGGATACAGAGCGGGGGAGAAGAGAATGGTTAGAGTTTTCTAACTAGGCTTTTGATATCCACTAGGTTAAGCTCGTTCTTGAAGTTTTCAAACAGGGATCGTCCCAGGGGTTTCGTAAAGATGTTCACCAACTATTACAGAGGGGGAATATATTCCAGTTCAACGTCCCCACTTCCAATTTTTTCGCGAGTAAAGTGGTAATGAGTGGCTATGTGGCGAGTGCGAGGATTCACCCCCGGATTAACAACCACAGCAATACTGCCAAAATTGTCACAATGGAAGCAAGTCGGTTTGTGTATTGCAAACTGAAAATCTTGAAATAGCGTAAGCAGCCGTGCTACGATTTTGGGTGAGGAAAATCCCTCTTTGCATGCGGATGCATTCTTCTTTTAGTTAGATCATAATGTCCCCTTCCGAAAGCTTTGTAATGGAGACCCTTAAGTTCAGTTGTTGTTTTAGATCTTTGATCACCCGAGTTGAATTTCCAACCATGAGTAGATCACCTACATGACAAAGCTAGAGAGCTAGTAGGACAATATTCAGATTTTCTATTCTGCTGTATAAATTGTGATCTCCCATGCCAGGTTTGAAGCTTATGTGTTTAAGGTAGTGATCAATCTCATCATACCACAATTTGGGTGCTTGTCGTAAACCATAAAGTGCTTTCTTGAGCCTGTACACAAGATGTTCTTTGCCCGGAACCAGGAATCCTTCCGGATGCTTGACGTAAACTTCTTCCTTACATGGACCATGAAAGAAGGTTGTAATAATATCCATACGAGTAATAATCCAATTGTTCTGTGATGTAATGGCCAGGAGGGATCGGATCATTTCCCATGCGACAGCGGGGCAAATGTCTCCTCTACATCCACTCCTTTCTGCTGTTTGAAACCACGGACAACTAGTCTAGATTTAAATCTTTGAAAATTACCTTCTGGATCAATTTTTGCTGTAAACACCCATCGGGTGGAGATCGCACTTCTCCCAGGAGGGAATTTTGTTAAGTACCACACATCATTCTTGATAATAGAGTTGTATTTGTCGAAGATTGAATTCTTCCAGTTCGGACACTTCCAGGCCTTGCTGGAGTCTGCAGGTTCGAGGGTGGAAGTGGTGACAGCCGCGGCATAGTGGTCGCTCAGCCATTTTGGGGGTTGTGTCATCCGCCCTGATCTGGTGGTAATTTTGCCTATCTCGGGTCTGTAGCGGGGTTTAGGTGTGTGAGGCTTGAGTGTTTTCCAGAAAACAGTTGTTCAGGTTAAGCGTTGGATTCATTTACTCTAGTAGGTGTTATATTTAATAGGTAGATTGCAGTCTCAGCAGCCTCGGGCCACAAGAAATTTGGCACATGACCAGATAACAACATAATTATTCTGTCTAAGAGGGTTCTATTTTATCGCTCTACCATCCCATTTTGATGGGGGTATGATCTTGTGTCAATTGACAGATTATCCCATGCGATTTGCAATATTTGGAGAAGGTAGTGGAGAGAAATTCTCCACCTCTGTTTGACCGTAGGATCTTCACATACAATCCAGTTTGCTTCTCTATCATCATCCTAAATTCACAAAAAAAATTCAAACGCTTTCGTGTTTTATGAAGTAAATATACACTTTTCTGTTGTAATCATCAACAAATAACAGGAAGTACATGTTTCCTGCAGCTGAAGGAAGAGGCAGTGGGCCACAAATATCTACATGACCTAGTTCTAGCAGTTGTTTCAATCCGTTTGTGGCTTTCTGTGGTGTAGGCTCCCTAGCTTGTTTCTCTTTGAAACAATGTTGACAAATAATGGGTTCTACGGTGAAGGTTGGTATACCATAGACATTTCCTTCAGAGGCTATCTTGTGTAAGGTAGTGAATCCAACATGCCCAAGTCGGCAGTGCCATAAGTAGGAAAGATTATATGAGTATTTACTGTTGTGATGACTGGGGTGGTCTAAGTTATCTAGTAAAGCAAGGGATGTGAGATTGGTTCTACTTTGGGGTCGTAAGACTACTCCGTCGTGAGTAAGCTTGTAAAGCTGAGATTTATTATCCCAATATCCTACTGTAATAATTTTTGAAGGTTGTGTTTTTGTGAGAATCGCACATTTATCCTTCCCAAACACCAATATGCTGTTATTTTGTCTAACAAACTGCACAACTGACATCAAATTATGTCTCAATCCAGGAACATAATAAGCATTATGCAATTTATTAATGTTTGAATTATGTGGCAGAATTACTTCACCCTGCCCTTCGACAGAGTGAATATGTCCGTTGGCAGTAGCCATAGTGACTTGTTGCAATGGGCTTTCTAGTGTGGAAAATAGATCTAGATCTCCCGAAAAGTGCTTTGAGGCTCCATTGCAAATGACCCAATCCTTCTCTGAGACCAATGCTAGTGAAAGAACATTCAGGGCATTCTGGATCTCTTCTGGGGTAGGATCATAAGACTCACCGGGGTAGTCTTCGATGAGGTTGGCTTGTGTTCTCAGCCTGCTCCCTCCTATGATCGGAATCGGAGCTAGTGCCAGGCAATCGCGAGTCAGGTCTCCAATTTTGTGGCACCTGTGACACTCCACCTCCTCAGTCCTTCTTTGTTGATTATAACGATCAAATTGTCGAGGACCAAAAGCTAAATTGTGACGATGGCAGCCGCGAATTGCGTTTCTGATTCGGATAATAAAGGCTTCTTCATGAGAATCCGATCGAAGTTTGATTTCCATTTCTTCCATCTGTAGGCGGACAGCCAGCTTCGCAAGAGTGGGTGGTGTTTGTTTGTTGTGAATGATCCGCACCAGCGTCTCGAACTTGAAAGATATGATTTTAAGGATTTTGTGAATGATGACTAGATCGGAGAGGAGTTCATTAGCGTCCCTGAGATCGTTGATGATCTCATGAACAGTCTGCATGAAGCTCGCTACAGTCATGCTATGGGGCATTTGCAGGTTTTCCCACCTATCCAGAGTAGTCATCTCGTCAGCTATTGTTTGGGTAGAATACAGATCTGGCAAGATACGCCAGACTTTAATTGGATCGAAGATCCGTGCTACATAATGATTTACCATATTGGTGAGAGAGAGAGGCGCAGATAGCCTATTGATTTTGTTTTTCGTCTACAAATCGTTTTCTTGTCAAGAATCTCAAAACGAGGTGTCCGTAGGGAGCCTATCCGTTCACTGCTGTTTCTATCTGAAACTTGGCTAAATTCTGTTACATCAAGGGTTTCTTCATGCACAGTGTCTGATTGCTCAGGAGCTACCACATCCCAAAGATCCTCTCTTACTAACACACTCTGGATAGTGCTTTTCCATCTTTTGTAATTTGCTGGACCGGCTAACATCTTGTTAGCAGCCACGACTGAGTCCATTGTTCACTTGTGGCACGTCTAGAATCAATGCTCAAGTTTCTGAAGCTATTCTGTTAAGAATACCGGTCACTATCTTACTCACTCAATCTCGCTGTGATACCATAATGCAGGCAAAATAACTCAAGCATCTCTCGATAAAGCACAGATAGTAACTAGCGCATCTCATACTCACAATGTCATACAACCAGGCCAATCCAAGCCAACAAAAACGATATTATTAAACTACTCAAACAATAGTATAAGTACACGAACTTCCTACGTTCCCTACAGTGAGAACGTCGAAGGATGCACGAGGATGTAAACTGAAGCGGGCGATGTTCAACAGATATATGGGCGGTTGCAAATGCATTTGCGGTAAGCTTTCTACTTTGTCACAACTGAAGGATGGTGCATTTCACTAGCATCTGAAATTTTCCAATATCAAGCCAAAGTTTTGGTAGTCTGACAAATAGACGATGATTCGTATTTTGCAGGACAGATTACTAACTGCAAAGAATGAAACGTCCAACCATGTCAAAACAACCCTAACCTTCTCGTTATCTCTGCATTTAAACATGCAGCTGATCTATAGTTCAGAGTGTGTGGACTCTTCTCCTCTGCAGCAACTTCTTCACAACAGCTAACTTAATCATTGAGTCTTGTCGCGATCCACGCTTGGCACTTTCGTTGGCAGGCAAGCAAGCAGACAAATTAGCGGGCTACAGATGTGATGGGTATTTAGGGACTTGAATTGTACACAAATGTATACACTTCAAGTGTGTGTATTTGTGTGTGTGTGTGTGTGTGTGTATATATATATATATATATATATCTAGACGTGCATGAGTGTGTGTGAGGGAGAAAACTTGACAATAATGGTGCCAGAAAGTGTTATTTCCACTTGTACAAGTGGAAAGCACGTCATCTTACAATGGTATACCAATATTTTTTTCAACCTCGACCTGAATTTTATACCTCATCTACCATAATGCTTTTCTAATATACAACATGGTGAGCTTGGCAGGAAACAACATTCAAGAACGAACTCTTAATTGCTATTGACTGAAAATCCACGACGCATTTGATCTGTGCATTTCATACCTGATTCAACACAATACTATATACAGTAATCTATACATTTTGCTTTTTGTGTACACAACATGTGTTCAAACCTGTCATAACTCCTACTAGTGGAAACCCGTGCAGTTGGCCACTAAAAATATGCAAAAAATTAGTTAATTTTGTTTAATGAACTACTTATAAAGTTTAATCACAAGAAAGTAAAAGTTGTGTTAAAGCATTCAAGGATGTACTAAAGTCAAAATTTGAAATTATGAATAAATAAATCAAAAAATAAATCAAAAATAATTATTACTGATAACTAACTAATCAAAACTTAAGGAAAAACAACAATAAAAAAAAAAAAAAAAAAAAAAAAAAAAATCAATCTTCATTTATTCATAATTGTTTTAGGTGGTCATTAACTTTTGTCATTTTTTTGAAATAATTAGTGTTTCACAATGTTCTAATTTTGCTTTCAAGAAAAGTTGGCAGTTTTCATTTAAAATTTACAGTTTCAAATAAGAGATCACATATATTCAAGTACACTAAATATCAAAAAGTGCACAAATATACATGTATAAATGTATAGTATATTTTTGGTTTGTTACAGTAAATGTTGAAAAAAAAATCAAATATATATATATTCAACTACTATTAGGTATATCAAATAATATTCTTTTCAAGTTTCAGATAGTAGAAATCAAGCTAACATTTAGTGTTATATTGTGAATATTGTGATTATAAAAATTAGTAATCATAATTTTAATTTTAAAAAAAAATTATATTTTTAACATGCTTATTTTAATTTTAAAATATTTATCAAAGTTAATTAAATTTACTGAAAACAAAACATAACAACCTTTCTTTGGTGTATCCCAAATTTTCAATGCATCAATCAAACTATTATGTTAATATAAAATTAACGTGTTAATATATAAAATTATATTATAATATATATATATATATATATATATATATATATATACTATTGATAATTTCTCTATTAGTTTTGAAGGAAATCAGTTGATAGAAGTATCATTATGTCAACACAATATGTATACACAAAGTTCAATTTCAACCATTTTCACAGTCATCATGAAATCATACAATATTTATACTGAATTACTAAAATTAAATAAATCATTGTTATTTGTTTGTTACTTGGAAGCAAAAAAGATTGAGAAGCAAACCTTAACTTAATATCTAATTTCTAAACTTTACATTTGTAAATCTCTTCACATACTAACTGTAATGACCTTTATCTTGCCCGTATCCTTATTTCGTTCTGCTGGTGAATATAATTTCGACGAAGTCTTGCTAATTTTCTAATCACTTCTGCGTAATCAGGTTCTTGGAAATGACTTACCCACACTGATGAACATAGTCGTCACATACATAGATGAATGAAAAACGTCGGACGGACGCGTCTTAGGGTTCCGTTCGAGCCCCTTCCGAAACCCCTCACCTTACTTAACCCTCCTTCCCACTCTTAGTCTGTACGAATCCACCAAAGCTCGCACTTCTTCTCAAATTCTTTCTGTGCCGTTTCTAAGTCTGGTGGTTAGTTCTCTTTTCGTGTTTTAGCGGTCATGTACTGTACTCGGAGGTCTTTGTTTACAGATTTACTCATGTTTTGAGTAGAAAGCGTGGGCCTTCTCTGTGCATTTTTCTGTGAGGTAGAGTCGTTCTACTGTCCGAAGTTTTGCTGATCCTTATTGCACTGCAGTATCGATTGTGGAGAAGAGATTATCGCTGCAGTCCAGCGCAACACCGTGTGTTTTTGAAGGATTGTATGACCCCTATTCTGAATTCCGAAAGTAAAATGTGGGAGATGATGAGACTTATTCGCCTTGCCCAAATGTATCCTTGCGATACATCATGTGGGTTGCGACTCACGATTTGCACGTCAGTCTGATCCCTTAGTCCTACGGTCTGATCTCTTTATGTTGCAATGCGCAAGCGTGGATGTGATGATGAGAAATTGTCGCCCCAGTCCTACTCGGACGCGTAATGCGTTTGGTGAGGATTGACTATTTATCAGTCTGATTCCTACACTGCCCTGGGAATGGTGCTCACTCGATGAACCGTAGAACGGTGGTTCTCCTTCATCGTCGAGCCACTGTCACTCATGTAGCTGACATTTCTAGGAGAATGTAAGCCGGCTGCCTTGATCTGAATGTAGACTTCGCACATCTGTCACTGTCAAGGGTTGGAGATTTACCTCCTCACATTGACTCCTCCAAAATTGTGCAATATCGACGCTGGTGCCTCGCCCCCAGAATGTGACCTGTTGATGATGGTTCATGTACGGGGTGATCACTACATTTCAAACACACAATGCTATTTCGTTTGTATTTCCGTTCATGCGTGATTGATACTAGAATTTGTCCTGAAAGTGTGACTGTAGTTGAAAGTGGAAGTTCCCATTGATACTTTATTTTGACTACTCTCTCAGTGATCAAAACATTATCTCCTGGAAAAAACAGTATTGCATTTCCAATCGCTCCCTCAAAACTACAGCAAAAAGTCAGGGAAACACCTATATAAAACCAACTGCTATCGACATTATATTTTAGAGTACTTGAAAAGATCCCTTCGAACTATATGCTGGTAAGGCAGAACTTGCAAATTTGCCAAAAGAAGGTGCGCAATGTTTTTGTGGGCAGAATTCGATTCAACTCTTTAAATGAAGACAAAGAAACACTTGACTACTGAACGATAAATCCTGAGCTGAACATTGGTAAAATATATTAAATGTTGTTTCATCTATTGATAAAGGACTCGTGGAATTCACCAGATGAATGGAAGGCTCTGTAAGTGGCATATAAATTTGTTAGAAACACGTACCAGGTGAACATGTCCTCAATCGAAAGGGGTAAGAGAAAGCCAATCACCGTAAGTTTCGAGCAGTTTTGCTCGAGAATGCGGTCGTCCTTGTGACGTTCTCGCACTACTAAATCCAGCAAAAATCAATACGCAGTTAAGTATTCACCTGTCATCGTCTTTCGATTTGAAAACCCGTGCAGTGCGAACCCGTGCCGTTGAAACGGGATGTTGCATTATCAGATACATTCTATGTTTCGTCTGCGATCGTTGTAACAACCGGTCTAAATTGCTCATCGCATCGTGCTAATCGCTTTTGTGCTCATCGCATTGCACTGAAAACTCAACCCGTGCCACATCACTTAGCATTTCAACGTTATGAACAATTTTTTTTATCTGTATATGTGATTTTTTTATTATTATCTGTATATGTACAATAATGTTTTAGAGTCCACATTTGACGTTGTTTTTTTGTTTTTTACTAGATGTAACGGGTGGGTACATGAAATGAACTGAGTCTTGAGGTTGTGAGGTATGGCGGTGTTGAGAAGCAGTGGAGGCGGCCATGGTGTCTGATTTGCAAAAAGCGGAAGGGTCAAGTCGAGGTGGGTTTTCTCTTTTCTGATGATGGCTTAGTGTGTCAGAGCTGTTTTCAAAAACATTCACGACTGTGATACAGGTGTTTATGTTCTGGGAACCGCCTCACAACTGGGTTCACAAGATCATCCGGTCGTTTGCAGATGATGGTTTCGTTGATGGTTTCATTGATGGTATGCTGCATTGAGATCAGCCTAAGCGGCTACTGCGGCAACTAAAGTGGATGCTGCTAACCGATAGCTGGAACCGAGGGTTTGAATGTGCGCAATGGTGCTCCTTTGTGTTAGCAGCGGACGCTTCGGAGCAATGCAGCTAATGTATGCTGCTTTGCTTGTGATGTGATTTTCTCTTGTTCAATGCTAAAATTTGTATCTCGTCCTCCCAAATCCCATGCTGTGCGTTTTCTCTGTTGATTCATTTTTTAAATAATACACTTGGATTTGTGTCTTTTGCGGATTTAGATGCAGAACGGATTGGAGACGAGGATGAGTTGCATAACATTGATATTGCCATCTGCAATTTTCAGGTTTCTTTCCGAGCACTTTCTCAGTACATGCAATCACTATGGCTTTGGCTTTGGCATTGGCATTGACACTGGCTCTGTACGGAAATAGACACTAAACAGTTGTAACTTTCACTGCTACGGCTTATCTCTGTTCCTCTCAATATTGCAGGAAGAATCTAATGCTTCGAAGCAGTAATTTAGGCAAAGCCTTATTCTTTGGGAAAATTCTAAAAGCCATGTGAAGATTGATGGGTGGAACAGGTGGTATAAGTGCTGATAGACCGCTATTTCTGTTGACGATGGACACATTTAGTTGTCAATCTGGTACTATGCAGCGTATTTTGTGTAGGAGGAAGCATCCTGTTAGATAATGCAGGTCCACGATTTTACTTTTAGAATTCGCTCAACAATTTCAGCATCGTATTTGTGCCGACTCTCCTATCTCCAAGTCTGCTGTACATTGCTGGACTAGACTAAAATGTCTCTGCCCTTAACAGTCTCTCCCCTAAACCAACTCAAAGGGCTCCCAGGTTTCTTCGTTGAGTAATTTCTTCCGTAGTTTTTTTTTTTTTTTTTTTTTTTTTTTTTTTAGATTACCTTCATGGTACTGCAGGCGCACTGGGAACACAGATTTGTATTTCTGGAGAAGTTAATCATTTTTTCACATCCCAGTTAAGTGAAGTCAATGTCAAGAAAGAAAGGCAGTGCAACTGAATCTCTCAGCGAAATGTGAGGTCTTTTCCTAAGATCGGAAGTTAGGAAACTTTGGTTCGGTTCGGTGGGTATTTTCATGTCATTAGTGTCATTTTTGCACGCATGAACTTCTCTTAGTTTCGTGCTGAAGGTTCTTCATTTGAGAACACACTCGTGGGTGTTACTTCCCAACCTGAGTAAGCGATTAATTTATGTAAGATTGCCAGTGATCTTCTTGACCTCTTCAAGATTGGATATGCGACGTTGACAAACCTTAGCATTGAGCATGTACATCTTGTTTGAGAGCTTCAGGTATCCAACAGCAAATAGTTGGCCTTGTCTGGGCAGGGGATGAAAAGAGCTCGACCATTGACATTGGGAGGTACTCAAGCGCTGTCATTTGATAAACTTGATCGCTTTTTGTGGTCTTTTTCTTCCCATACCAGCGTATCATGATCTTACTCCTCTAAAATCAATTACCACTACTGGTAAAGAAGTTGGCTACGTTTATTCTCATTGTATTTGATATGACCGAGCTCTGGAGGTAAACATTTATGACCTCAATGACCGAGGTCTGTTGATTTCACTTTGCATTCTATGCGTCCTGCAATGCTGAGTCAGCTAGTCAGATGAGACTTTTGTTGGACTTCAGTAATGGCAGTCTGTATTGGCAGTGAAACATTACCAATATTTTACTTCATTTTCCTTGCCGTTTTTTTACACTATCATGCGGCTTGATTCCATGATGGTTTCACTGGTCTTCTTCCTCGTACTTTTGATCCTTCTTTGCGTCACTTGTTTAGGGTTCATTCATACCAGTTCAGTTGTCCTTGAGGAGCCATTCTGTGACATTTACACTGAGAATTAGATCAAACAAACACAAGCTTTCGATGCTGAACTTGAAAATTTTCACTTATTACCTTCAAATTTGCACAAAATTTTATGTGTCTTATATCCTTTATGACCATGGTCATGATAGCTAGCAGACGAGAATTTTCTAGTTGAGCTACAACTTGACCAAGAGAACACAATGTGCAAACGCAACGACAAAAAATCTTGGAAGGTGTAATCACTGTTTTCTGGATACCTGAGTAAATTCCAAGCTTCGAGCATAGAAGCTTGGGTACTGATAGATTCTACTGCGTATTTTGTCAACTTTTAAATTGTAGCGAAGGCAATATGAGCGTGATAATACGATTTTTGACGAATTTGGAAAAAGGTAACACATTTAGAACTTTAAGAGTGCTCAAATACATCGACAGAAGCGTTAGCATTAAGGATCAAGTTTTGCTGCCTCTGCAATGTGCTCCACTAGCAGATAGTACATGCACGCGGATATATACTCTTTGAGAAAATTTCTACAGGGCATCATACATGTGAATTCACAATCAGTGTGCAGTTCCTTAGTGAGATATCTAACACTTGGTTAAAGTACCATATGTCTACAATAGATGGGTCCTTTTTTTCGATTGTTTTTGAAATTTAATGCTCACTTAGAATCTTTATAATTGGCGGCCTTTGGCCAGATATTGAAAAGCAATAATCTGATGTGTGTGCACGCGGTGCCGATCTAATCTACTTCATGCATCACTTTACTCCAGCCAATCAGCATATTGATTTGCATTTCTTCGACGTAGATTCCAACAAGAGAGTTTATGTTCCGCATCTTGTTTCCGGCACACCAAACTATTCTTCTTGGTGTTTCAAAAGCGAACACCTGTAGCTGGCACTTCACACGAGTATCACGATACCATGTGGATCAAGGTCTTGGCAGTATGTTAAAGAATCATGTACAGGTCTACAGGGATTGTATTGACATGGACACACATGTTTTTTTCGATTATTTTATATGATTGATACCGTATTGCCTTGCAGGAATCTCAAGTTGTAGGTTTTGGGAAGGTAGTTATCCTCGATGTGGAGCAAGTGATGGGAAGGCAGCAATCACTAGATTGGGACAGTATATTGACACAGTCGTACTTTGCAGCGAAGATGAACCCAAGTTCAGGGTACAGTTCATATATTACTGGAAGTGAATATCTATTGCAAAACTCTTTGCACAGCTTTAAGGTCTGTGAATCAAGGATTTCGTGTACAACAATTATTTTCTTTGTAAATGTATCCTAAATCCTGCAAATTTCTAAATCTAAATCCCAATAATTCCGTGTACAGATATTACTTTCACCGATAATCAATGTGGCTCCATGAACAGATTCCTCAGACTGTGCCTCTTATGCCCCATTGCCTTTCCAGATAATTATGAAAGATTCACATGAGATCACGTTGTTGTTGCTCGTCTTATTGCAATCAATTATTACTCAAAGCTAGAAAAGCGCCTCAGTGTTAACTAATTTTTCGAGAGCTTTATTGACTTCTGAAGTGAGGTTCCTAACCAGCAGTTCCTGTTACTAGTGGCCTATGTTTATTATCTACAGTGGATTCTTCAAGAGGTTCGATGCCGGCGCACCGTCAATTCTGCATACATAGACTTTTCCTCTGATGCTTGTAAGAAATTCACGTCAATGATCGTTGAGCTTGGACAGTGCCAAAAAATTTCATAAATCCTCAAGTGCAAGTCCTCTCAAGAATGACCACAATAGCCTCGAGTATCTTTGCATCGTAAACAATACCATGTTTCTAATGTGACTTTGTTCTCTGGCTGGTTTCTATATGCTTCTGAGGAACCAAAATACACAAGGAACTGAACAGTGGAAGCGCATTGGAAACATAAACTTTGCTCGAGGATCCGCATCATAGAAACTCACTTAATTAATTCCATTAAATTGTATAATATGTGCAGTTGGAAACTTGGGTTTCAGCTTGTAGATCCCGAGTACTTGTGTGGTGCCATCAAAACCACATTGCCAGTGGAGAACTAGGGCAGGGTATCAGAAATTATTTTGCCCCCACCATAGCTTTCAATGTACATTTGCGAGAGCCTTTAGTCAACTTCAACACCATGAAACAAGTCCACAATACTTGCCTGTTTTGAAGCATCACTAATTTCTGTTGTACAGTCCTGTAAAATTGTGCAATGCACACACTAGGCTGTCTTACTCCAAAACAAAAATGTTGTTATCCAGGAGATCATTGCAACATTGTATGTACCACACCATTCAACAGTCACATGCTGTTGGTGATTCACAAAGAATATTGTAGAAAGCCTTATCATGAAGTGTTTAGAATTCCTCCATGTCAAGTGTGGTTGCTGTGGTACATTGGTATGTGTTTCTGTGAGTTTGTACAAGTAGGCCATGAACTGTATAGCCTTTTCTACAGAAACTCTCTGGTCAAGTTCTATTCAACATGTGACCACATCTTGACCCATGTCTCTAGGTTTGCAAGGGAAGTTGAATAATTTCCAGAGTATTAGATTGACTAAGATAATTTGTCAAGTCCCCAATCTTCAAGTGGGATAAAAAGCACATTCTGTGGGTCAGTGTTAATCACAACCATCCCCAACTTGACACTTACCGAAGACTCAAGTCCAAGGCATACAAATTTTGTGGCAGAGACCAGCCCCAGGTCCAGTCAATTATCTTGTAACATGTAGGTCAGTGAGGATGAGGTAAACTAAGGTCATCAGCCTACTCTCAAGGAACAGCCTGAAGAAACACTGGTTCTTCTTCAGTTTGGAATATGATATGTCTCAAATGTGAGACTTGTGCCCATGGACAAAGTAGCTAATAGAGGACAAAAGTCATTATTTGACATTATGAATAGCATCCAGAGAAGAAGAAGAAATAAAACTAAACAAAACCAAACCAAACTTTTCAATTAGAGGAAGTGAAAGAAAGAAGAAAGATAGGGAGGGGAAGTTGCTTTGTGGTCCTTCTGGAGAAATAAAAATAAAAATAAATAGAAATAAAAAATTGCTAAGATGGGTCAATGATTTGCCCCATTGAGTGTTACTGTAGCTGAACCCAGTCTTGAAGTGTGTTGGTTTGTTTCATCAACTTAAACACTTTAATGAGTTAATGTACATCTTTCATTCTCATTGAAACTGTTGTGAATTGCTTATGTCAGTTATTTCATGAACTTCTTGGTTGCAGCTGGAGTTTGTTACCTCTTCTTGGGCAGATATGTTGTCTTTCTTTTCTTTACTTTCATGATACAATAACGCATTTGAACATTTTAGTTAGCAGTTTCATAATTCCTGGAATGGAAACTTAGTTTTCAAGGGAGCATGGCTCATCCTTCCCCAAACAAGAAATATAAAACACAACTGCATAATTTTTATTAGTTCACTTTTCCCTAACACATTGAAAACATTATCAGTTTTTAAAACACATTTAAATAATAATAGTAATAAAACTTCCTTGGGAACCAGTGTTTTTTTTATGATGTACATATTTGTTAAGTACAAGCTTGCCAAGTACATGAAAAGGCAAGGACCCCAATCCACAAACCAAACTTGATGCCTCTAATGACCCCTCTCAAAACAAAAAAAGCTGGATGATAATCATGCTTGCCTTGAAACTTGTGGAAGCCAGTACACACCATAACCAAGCAAACATCCACTTTTGGGCCTTATATCTCTATCTCATTGGTTTAATGTTGGCTTTGGACCAGTCTGACCTTGACAACATGGTTCCTGAAAAGACATACCACTTAAAAAAGGGCAACAAGACAATGGGACAACCTGAAAGCTGTTGTGTACGTCTTTATTTAAGCATGCCTACCACCAACATTGAAGTTTGCTGATGATGTTATAGAAGTTAAAGTTCACAATTCTAAAAATATAAAATTCCATCATAGCATCTGTCACAGCATGTTTGTGTCTGGCTTCCACACAAATCTAACATTATTAATAGCATAGTAGATACTTTTCTGCCTTGAAACGAGCTCTTAGTGATAAGTACACTGTCATGGAGCCCAGATATTTGTTAAAAGAAGAACTGCTCCGGATAGGGTTTCCTCTTTTGAACACTTGTTAGAAGGGTTCTAACACAGGCAATGGTCACTAATTTGGTGCTCCTGATTGTGGGTTAGCTGATCCTTTTCTTAACACACCTGAACTGTGGCCAAACATAGGGCAAAATTGTGGGTTTTGTTAAAGTCTTCACTACTAATGACATACAGTTTGCATTCACTCAGAAAGCTTGGTAAAAATATATGTGGCCAAAGAACAACACCCACATGGCCAAATGCCTATTTTAACCATTCACTTAGATTGGGGGAGAAGGTTGTTGGTGGGGGCTTGAGGTAGGACAAATTTCTGCGAGATGGGAGGCTGTATTGAGTTCCTGCTTTTCCACTAAAGAAGTGTTGTGCACAATGTTGCTATGCTGTGGTTGGGCCACTGTTTCAAAGGCCAGCACATAGCATCCAATCTTAGGACTTTTCTCATGTTTTCCACTCATTTCCATGCTGTAATGAATTCTTATGCTGAATTATTGCTGTTAACATGTTCCATTCATTTGAATGATTTGGCAGGACAGCACCAAACTTGTACTTTACAAAACTGGAGGCAAAAGAAAGTGACTTTTTTTTGTTATTATTATTATTATTATTCTTTATTGAATGAGTACTTATTTGGATAGATTCACACTATACATTTGGATCTTAGAACGTTTTATAAAAAATATTTTGCTCAAATCAAAGTTCAATGTAAGATTGCTTAAATCTCAATCCCACACAAAATAATTCATAATAAAAACAACACACACAAACACACAAATGCATATGTACATTGGTATGTTTAATGAAA